AAAAAAAAAAAAAAAAAAAAAAAAAAAAAAAAAAAAAACTAAACCTAACAGTTAACATCATACTTGATGAAAGATTGGATGCTTCTCCTGAAAGTTGGGAGTACAGCAGAGATGTTCATTCACTCATAGCTATTCAGTGCAATAAGGCAAGAAAAGGAAATAAAAGAAATAAAGTTTGAAAAGAAAAAAATAAAATCAGCTTTATTCACAGACAACATGACTGTCTATCTAGAATATCTCAAAGAATCCCCCAAAAGTTACCGAACTAGTGTGTTTAGCAAGGTCACAGGACACAATATACAGAAATCAAGCATATTTCTAGATAGAAATTAACGATTGGAAATTAAATTTTTATAAGTATCATTTATAATAGCACCAAAAACATGAACTACTAAGTTATAAAGCTAAGAAAAAATGTTCAGGGTCTGTATGCTGAAAACTACAAAACTCTGATGAAAGAAATCAAAGGCCTCAATACATTGGGAGATCCATGGAGCTTGTGGATGGAAAGACTCAATATTGTTAAGAGGTCGGTTCTCCCAAAACTGGCTGTAGATGAATGCAATTCTAATCAAAATCTAGCAGGGCTTTTTATGGCAATTGACAAGCTGATTCTAAAATTTATATGGAGGGACTTCCCTGGTGGTCCAGTGGGTAAGACTCCAAGCTCCCAATGCAGGGGGCCTGGGTTCGATCCCTGGTGGGGGAACTAGATCCCGCATGCATGCCGCAACTAAAGATCCTGTGTGCTGCAACTAAGACCCAGTGCAGCCAATATATATAATAAATGAAATTTTTTAAACAAATAAAATTTATATAGAAATCTAAAGGACCTAAAATAACTAAAACAATTTTGAAAAAGAAGAGAGTTAGAAGACTCAGACTACCTGATTTCAAGACTTCCTCTAAAGCTGGAGTAACACATAGCATGATATTGGTAGAGGGAGAGACACAGGGATTCAGTGGGACAGGATAAAGGGTCCAAAAATAGACCCACACAAATATGCAAAGGGAATTCCTTGGAGAAAGAAAGTCTTGTCCTCAAATGAGACCTTAACAATTAGATAAACATATGCCCCCAAATTAACCTCCATCCATTCCTCTCGCTGTAAACAAAAACTGCTCAAAATCATAGATCTAAATGTAAAACCTAAAATTATAAAACTTCTAAAAGAAACATAGGAGAAACTCTGTGTAACCTTGGTTTGGGCAAAGATTTCTTAGATGTGACATCAAAAGCATGATCCATTCTTTAAACTGTACAGTTTACACTATAAACTGTATATACTTCCAAAAAGAAAAACAAAAACCTCTGGACTTCATCAAAACTAAAACTATCTGCTCTTCTAAACAGACTGTTAAGAGAATGAAAGATAAGCCACTGAGGGCTTCCCTGGTGGCGCAGTGGTTGAGAGTCTGCCTGCCAATGCAGGGGACGCGGGTTCGTGCCCCGGTCCGGGAAGATCCCACGTGCCACGGAGCGGCTGGGCCCGTGGGCCATGGCCGCTGAGCCTGCGCGTCCGGAGCCTGTGCTCCGCAACGGGAGAGGCCACAGCAGTGAGAGGCCCGCGTACCACAAAAAAAGAAAAAGATAAGCCACTGACTGGCAGAAAATATTAGCAAATCACGGACCTGATAAAGAACAGATCCAAGTAAGTCAGAAAGAGAAAGACAAATACCATATGCCGACACATATATATGGAATTTAAGAAAAAAAATGTCATGAAGAACCTAGGGGTAAGACAGGAAGAAAGACACAGACCTACTAGAGAATGGACTTGAGGATATGGGGAGCGGGAAGGGTAAGCTGTGACAAAGCGAGAGAGAGGCATGGACATATATACACTACCAAACGTAAGGTAGATAGCTAGTGGGAAGCAGCCGCATAGCACAGGGAGATCAGCTCGGTGCTCTGTGACCACCTGGAGGGGTGGGATAGGGAGGGTGGGAGGGAGGGGGACGCAAGAGGGAGGGGATATAGGAACATATGTATATGTATAACTGATTCACTTTGTTATAAAGCAGAAACTAACACACATTGTAAAGCAAGTATACTCCAATAAAGATGTAAAAAAAAAAAAAAAAGAACAGATCCAAAATGTATAAAGAACTTTGAAACCTCAATTAGAAAACAAATAACCCAGTTTTCAAATGGGCAAATGACTTGAACAGACACTTGACCAAAGAAGATGTGTAGATGGCAAGTAAGCACATGAAAAGACTCGACAACAGTAGACAGACGGAAAAACAAATTAGAACCACGATGGGCCGTCACTACACGCCTGTTAGAAGGGCGAGATTAAACCCTAGCCCCTGACAGAAGCAAGTGCTGGTGAGGGGCTGCCATGACTCTCGTCCGTTGCTGCTGGGAGTGCGCAGTGGTGTAGCCACTGTGGAGAGCAGTTCAGCAATTTCTTATAAAGTCGAGCAAACCCCGTACAACCCAGAAACCTCACTCCTAGGTACTTACCCAAAGAAATGAAAACTAAATTCAAACAGAAACCTGCATGTGAATGCATGGAGAGGGATTCTTTGTGATTGCCAACGTCTGCTGACTGGTGAGTGGATAAACAACCTGGCACCTCTCTGCTCTGGAGTGCTACTCAGCAATGAAAAGGAATGAACTGGGGACCCACACACAACACGGATGCACCTCACGACATCACACTAATGAAAAACGTCAGATGCAGAAAACTGCAAACCATGTGATTCCATTTATGTGTCATTCTGGAAAAGGCAAAACTGTAGGGACAGAAAACAGACCAGTGGTTGCCAGGAGCCGGGGAGGGATTCACTACTAAGGGGCACAGGGAGAGCTGGGGTGGGAGGTGATGGAAATGTTCTGTATCTTGATTGTGGTGGGGGATACACCCTGTATGCATTTGTCAAAGCTTTCAGAAGTTTACACTAAAAAAAAGAAATGGGAGAGAAATCCCTCAACACAAACGACAGAGAGCATTATGATCTTGCGTGCTTCAGATATTATATGATCAGACATTGAAAATAAAATAAGCACACTTAATACTTTGAAAAACATCACAAAGGAATAAGGTCAAGTAGAATTGAAGTGAGGGACTTCCCTGGTGGCACAGTGGTTAAGAATCCACCTGCCAATGCAGGGGACATGGGTTCGAGACCTGGTCCGGGAAGATCCCACATGCCGCGGAGCCATGAAGCCCATGCGCCACAACTAGTGAGCCTGCGCTCTAGAGCCCGTGCTCTGCAACAAGAGAAGCCACCGCAATGAGATGCCCGCGCACCGCAGCAAAGAGTAGCCCCGCTCGCCACAACTAAAGAAAGCCTGCGCGCAGCGACGAAGACCCAACACAACCAAAAATAAATAAGTTTATTTAAAAAAAAAAAATAAAGAAAATGAACCAAATAAAACTTCTAGCAGTAAGAATATGATCACTGAAAACAAACAAAACCCCAATCACTGGGTTAAACTGTGGATTAGACACTGCTGAAGAGACAATTAGGGAGCTAGAAGATAGAGATGGAAACGTGAAAGTAGCGGCACAACACATGTGCTGTTGAGGATGAGTTAGGAGCGACTTGTCCATTGGAGTCAGGAAAAGACAGTATTTAAAGAGCTACTTGCTGAGAATGTTCTAAAATGTCAAAATGCCTCTAACTCCAGGAAGTGAGTAAATATCAACTCTGTGACTGACAGAACAGAATGGATGCATGGAGCAGATACACTGCACACATAATTAATGAAAGTCTTCCTAATCATTAACAAGCCTGATTCTAGACTTAGTGGAAGCTCACCGTATTCCCAGCAAACTGACCAACACAATTCCACCCTGGGTCACCAAGTGACCCCAGCCAGCATCCATGCAAGATGGAGAAGCTGACCCCGGGATCCGGCCTGGACTCAGGGCATAGGGAAGGACCCTGTGGGCCCAGGTCTGGGCTCTCACTGAGGTAACTCCCGAAGCAGACAAGGACGTAAACCGTAGGGTGGTGGGAGCCAACTGGCCCACTCACCCCCACCCAACTTGGTGACCGTCATAGCTGCTGGCTGCATGAGAAGTCTGCCACATTGGAGGAGCCAGAACTGGGGGCCTCTGCCTTTACAACCCCAGGCCCCAGAAATGGTGCATACTGCCCTGTGGTAGCCTGGGGCAGGCCGCAGCAGTGCACCTGGGGTCTCCACAGGGCCAGCCTGGCAGCCCAGCTGGGGAAGGACTCAGAAAGGACGCTGACCTTCGCCTCTCCTATCAAACTGGGTCTGTTCACGTGCAAAGTCAACAGGAATACCTTCTCAGATGAGAGGAAACAGGGCCTACCCTTCCTGATGGATGGCCTGCCATTCTTGGGGTGCCTCCCGAAATCCCGAGGGGCGGGCTGGGATCAATGGCCCACCAGTGGGGAAGAGATGTTCAAAACATGCAGGCAGCGTGCACACAGACAAGGCTAAATGAGTGTGAAAATTAGGCTGCGAACGTTTTATTATCACCTGAAAGTGGATATCGTGTTACATTTCCAGGGCTCAGCAGCCCCTTGGGCTCCGGTGGGTCCCTGGGAAACGGCTGACCCCCTCCCCACGCCCCACCCTGGCCCAGCCCTGACACAACACCCTGCTGTTTCCTCCTCTTCATGCAAACCTCCTTGAGCCCACTTTCCACTCCTCCTGCTTTGAAGTGAAGCCCCAGACGGTCCACCTCTCGGCCGTCCCCTCTCCGATGCGCTGCTCTCAGGCCGCTGCACCCACCGGGCCGCCCTGGGGCCAGCATCCTTCACCCACCCCCTTCCCTGCGCTGGGGCTTTGGGCAACTAGGGACCCTCTCCCACCCCAGCCTCCTGCTCCAGAGGCCGCAGTGCCCACTGTCCAAGTCCACCTGAGAAGCCCCAGGCCTGGGGCTTGAGCTGTGGGTCCCCGAGTTCCCGAGGTCCCTGACCAGGAGATGGCCACGGGGGGAGGGGGTCTGCGGGGGCACATCCACGCAAACCTGGGGCCACAGTGATAGCCTCCTGTGGCCCCTAGCCCTGGGAAAGGGTGGGGTAGCAGGAGATGGTATTGTCAGGAGGAGCTGTCTGCGCAGGAGGGCTGGGGTGGCCCTCACGAGCCCCAGAACAGCACCTGGTCTGGGGGTGGGAGGGGGCCGGATGGTGCCCTAGCGCCCCAGCTCCCCCTCGGGCCTCACGGCCCTGGGAGGCCAGGTTGGGGGTGGCCACCTAGCGGGTGTGGCACAGCTGCCCAGCCATGCCTGGCCAGCGTCACACCTGGACCCTTCTCTTCCAGAATCAGAGGGAGTGACCTTGACCACCATCGTGACTGTACCTCCCACCGAGGAACAGACGGAGTTCTCACTGGGAGAGGTCAGGCCCACCTCCTTCCGGCCCCAGGATGGTCTGTGCATCTGACCAGAGCCGGACTGGACTAGTCTGGCCGCTGGCCTCGCCTCCTCTGGGCAGTTAGCTGTCTCAGCCGGTGTCCGGGTGCCCCGTCTCAGGCTGGGGCCGGGCGGGTCCAGAGCCGCAGAGGCAGGGCCCTGGGTGCCCCTAGTCCAGCTCAGAGGAGACACCAATGCAGGGCCTCCCCAGCCAGAGCATGGGGGCCGTGCGTGTGTGTGCAAGGACCGTGTCATCAGGAGAGCGAGTGCACGCATGGGGGCTGCCACCACTCGCCCCCGCAGTGACCCGGCTGTGGTGAGGCCACGGGAGACACCGTGACAGGAACGTGAAGGCTCAGCGGCCCTGCCCACCTCTCTTGCCGTGCAGATAACAGAGGGGCAGATTGGCCCCTTCAGCTCCATCAAAGTGCCCGTCATCTTCACCCCGATCGTCCCAGGAACGGTCTCCACCAGGTTCAAGGTCGTGTTTAAGAATCAGCAGTGCCCGACTGTGAGTATCCTGCTGCTCCCTGGGCACGGGGTCCCCGCCCTCCGCGTCCCCTCCACCACGACCACGTGAGGCTGCTGCCCGCACTGCCCATGCTTGCATGGCTAGTCAGTGGCACACATGGCTGGCAACATAGCCAACACATGCACACCTGTGAACACACATGCACACACACACACACACACACCCCTTGCACTTAATCACTAGGGATGTCTTTCTTAATTTCCCAGTAATTAAAATTTGTTATCATTACTTTTTAGATTTATTTATTTATAAGTTTATTAAATTGAATTATGCTCAGACAATATCATCTGCAAAGTCTTTTTTTTTAATTTGTTAGTTTTCTTTGTAACCAAAGGCAAGATTGATTTTATAAATTGATAATGTGCATATGAAGAAAGTGTATTTCATGTCTGTAAACAGATTTATTAGCTGGATCATTCACATTATTCATACGCTCCGTGGGGTTTTTTTTTTTCAAGTCATTTGCCAATTTTTCTATTGTATTTTGTTTCTTACTAGGATTCTGAGTTTGTGGAGGTATTTTTTTTAGTTACAGGTGTACAGCATAGTGATTCAAAAATTCTATAGATTATTATTCCATTTAAAGCCATTATAGGGAATTCCCCGGTGGTCCAGTGGTTACGACTCAGCACTTTCACTGCTGTGGGCTGGGGTTCAATCCCTGGTCGGGGAACTAAGATCCCCCAAGCCGTGCAGTGCAGCCAAAAAAAAGAAAAAAGTTATACAATTCAGTTATAGTCCCTGTGCTGTCCCGTGTATCCTTGCAGCTTATCTATGTTTTAAAATATTTATTTATTTATTTATTTATTTATTTATTTATTTATTTATTTATTTGGCTGCGCCGGGTCTTAGTTGTGCCATGCAGGATCTTTCAGTTGCGGCATGCGGGATCTAGTTCTCAGACCAGGGATCGAATCTGGGCCCCCAGCATTGGGAGTGCAGAGTCTTAGCCACTGGACCACCAGGGAAGCCCTGTAGCTTATCTATTTTATACACAGTAGTTTGTATCCCTTAATCCTGTACCCCTGTCTTGCCCCTCCCTGACCCTTCTCCCCACTGGTACCCACTAGTTCGTTCTCTATATCCGTGTGTCTGTTTCTGTTTTGTTACATTCACTCAGTTGTTTTATTTTCTAGATGCCACATATAAGTGATAACATACAGTGTTTGTCTTTCTCTGTCTGACTTACGTCACTAAGCATGATACCCTCTAGGTCCATCCATGTTGCTGCAAACGTCAGGATTTCATTCTTTTCATGGCTGAGTAGTATTCTATTGTATATATGCACCATGTCTTCTTTATCCATTCCTCTGTTGATGGGCACTTAGGTTGCTTCCATGTCCTGGCTATTGTAAATAGATCTGCAATGAACATTTTGGTGCATGACTCTTTTTGAATTATGGTTTTCTCAGGGTGTATGCCCAGTAGTGGGATTGCTGTGTCATATGGTAATTCTATTTTTATTTTTTTAAGGGACCTCCATACTGTTCTCCATAGTGGCTGTATCAATTTACGTTCCCACCAACAGTGCAAGAGGTCTCCTTACACTTCTAACAGAGGGCTCTGTTCAGCTGCTTTGTTGTTCAGCTGCTTTATTGTTTCATGCATGAGGGTTTATAGTTGTTTTCTTATCGTGAATTGTGCCTTTCACCAGAACCAAACATCCCCCTTCATCCTACTGCTCATGGCACCTCTATATCCAGCTGATCCCACAATAACGACAGGGCCACTCCTGCTTTCCTCTGCTTCACCTTCACCTCATATCCCTTTGTCCTCCCCCCCCCACCCACTCTGATATTTATCCTTTTTTAATGACTTCGTGTGTCTTTTAAGGAGCCAGGTTTTGTCTGTGGACCCAGACTAAGGTTGTCTGCCTTTAGGGGGAGAATCCAGTGCATTTGCAGCATAACATTGACACACTTTGTTTTACTACTTGCATTAGTTTTGTCTACTATTCATTTTATCATATTGTTTCCTCACTTTCAGTTTTCTTGTTTTCATTGGTTTGATCAAGTTGCTACTTATTCCTTTTTTCCCTGTTATTTGGAAATTCTACTTTCCATTCAATGAACAGTCCCCTCCCCTTTCCCAGCCCTTAAATCCCACATGACTTTCTATTTCTTTTTTTTTATATAAATTTCTTTTTTTTTTTTTTTTGGCTGCGTTGGGTCTTCGTTGCTGCACACAGCTTCCTCTAGTTGCGGCGAGCGGGGGCTACTCTTACTTGCGGTGCGCGGGCTTCTCCTTGCGGTGGCTTCTCTTGTTGCGGAGCACGGGCTCTAGGCATGAGGGCTTCAGTAGTTGTGGCTCGCGGACCCTAGAGCACAGGCTCAGTAGTTGTGGCGCACGGGCTTAGTTGCTCCGCGGCATGTGGGATCTTCCTGGACCAGGGCTCAAACCCGTGTCCCCTGCATTGGCAGGCGGATTCTTAACCACTGCACCACCAGGGAAGCCCGGGTTTTTTTAAACAGCTAAAAATGTTGATATTTATGAAGCTGCGTGGTGGGTACATGACAATCCATCGTACCATTCTCTTTTTATGTTGAAAAATTTTGAAAATAAAAAGGATTGTTTAAATTATATGATGTAAAAAGTGCCACAGATCTCCAAAACATGGCCAGTTTAATTATTAACCTTCCAGTTTTTGTAAGAGTCACAAAACACTGCCGCTGAGCTCTGCGTTAGTACTCACGGTCACCGCCTGCTCTGCTGATGGAAATACGTGTTGTCGGATTTTCATGTTCAAATTCAGTTATATTTCAAAGTCGCCGGTGTTGCTATCGACGTGCCAGTCTGGGTGCCAAAGCCCAACGTAGACCTAAAGATCTGCATGTACGACCGGCTGTATCAGGACTCCATCCTTGTCCAAACACGGTGAGCCCTCGGCGGGGCTGAGGTCACGGACCTCGGGGTGGGGGTCACCGGGGGTTAACCCGAGGGCCCACTGGAATCCCAGGGCTGTCGTAGGAGGGAGGCTGGAGGGCCAGAGTCAGAGAGGTTGGCAGATGCTAGGCTGCTGGCCTTGAAGATGGGACAGGGGCCACGAGCCAAGGGACACGGTGCCTCCAGAAGCCGGAAAAGCCAGGAAACGATTCCCCATGGAGCCTCCCAGGGGACCAGCCCTGCCCGCAGCTGGGCTTCTGCCCCCGGAGACTGTGTGCGCTTCTGACCTCCAGAACCGTGAGAGTAAGTCAGCGTTGTCACCCCTGCATCTCTGGGGAGCTCGCCCCCAACATGGCCAGGCCAGGCCCCTCTCAGACACAGACAGGGAAGGAGGCATGTCCTCTGAAGGACCATGGACGGAGCCCCGAGACAAGAAGCATGTTTCATTTGCAGTGTTTTGCAAGGGCGTCCGGACACCACAGTTGTCATTTCTTTTTTATGCTCTTTTTAATTTTTAGTGAAATTCAATTACATGGAGAAAAGCAGGCAAATTCTACAGTTAGAGCTTTTAATGGGTTTTCATTAACCAAACACCTGCGTACCTGGCAGACTGCTGACACACGGGGCCCCGCTTCCAGCCTGGGGGCAGGGGCGGCGATGGGCGGCCTGGGTGGAAACGACTGGCACGTGCGCCAGCCGCTGGGTCCCTGGGCCTCAGCACTGCAAACGTCAGGGGGCCTGTTCTCACCAGGGAGCTGGGAACTCGGGACAGAACTCAGGTGGATTTGTTCAGGAAACTAGGTTTTGCAGGGCTCTGGTCAGTTTACCTCGGGACGCAGAGCGTGTCCACTCCTGGGCAGGGTGGTGATGGGGAGCCGGGGGGTGGGGGATGGACGGGGAGTTGTGCTTTCTCAGCCCCTCCCCAAGGCACAGGCTCAACGTCGTACATTTGTTGAGTGATTTTATTATATTTTTTTAAAGATTTTTTTTAACGTGGACCATTTTTAAAGTCTTTATTGAATTTGTTACAATATTGCTTCTGTTTAATGTTTTGGTTTTTTGGCCGTGAGGCACGTGGGATCCTAGCTCCCCCACCAGGGATCAAACCCGCACCCCCTGCACTGGAAGGGGAAGTCTTAACCACCAGACCACCAGGGAAGTCCCTGTTGAGTGATTTTAGAATTCAGCATTACTCACTTGTTTAGTTTACCGGGTTTATGGACACAGGTGTAGCAAAGGAGCTCCTTCGCAATGACTCTGGTCACATTAACAGCTGCTCAAGGAGGAGCCCAGCCAGCACGGGAACCTGGGTGGGGCTGCTGCCTGCTGAGGGCGGGAGGGCCAGTCTGGGCACATTCCGTGGCAGGGGACACCCAGTGCTGGGTGACACTGGGGCCAGAGGTCACTGAGGGGAAGGGCTTGGTGACACTGGGGGTCAGAGGTCAAAGGGGCCCCCTTTTACTCCTCCTCAGCCAGGAGCACCCAGGAGCCCATGGATCTCCCAGGGGTCTCTGTCTGGCTGTGGGCTCTCCTTGCAGAGGGGCTCAGCCCTCAGGGTGAGGCCCCAGCAGCCATGAGGTAGGCAACAATCATCCCAGGCAGTTAAGGAGGGGCTGGAAGGCCTGGGAGGCTCTGGACCACGGCCCAGGGTTCCCGGGCAGCCCAGGAAGGGGCTCCCTCGCAGGCCTGGGGCAGCTTGCCCATCACCTTTCTTCCTGGAGACTGGAAGGCAGGAGGGGAGGGGCAGCGCACCGATGGGGGCTGTGGCCTGTGGTGGCTAGGATGGGGCTCCCCACGTGGCTGGTTGGGGGCACATCTGGCTTCTCTGGCTGGCCCTGAGTTGAAAACAGGGACAAAAATTGGGGAAACTGCGGTCACTGGCCAAGGCCTGGCCGTCTGGGGACCTCCCGAGCGTCCTGCAGGGCTCGTGCTGACACGTGCCCACGCCTGGGCGGGAAGGGCAAAACTCTGGGAGGGCCGGCGCCCACCCCCCAGGTCCCTGCACCCAGCACCTGTCTGGCGAGGGTCTTCCCAGAAAACACTAGGTTTCTGAGAACCGACTGGGCGCCTTTCAGTTGCGATGTTTTTATTTGTAAGGATTCCTCAGCAGATGTCACTTCAGGAAAACCTGCCCTTGTCGAGCAGGGCTCTGAAGACTCTCCGACAGTAGCGGGTGGGGAGCATCTGGGAGGGTGTGCCCTGGGCCCTGGTGGGGGTGGGTACAGGCCGACCCGCAGGGACCAAACGCGTCGTCACCCGCCTGGCCCTCGGGTGCTGCAGGTCGAAGGCCGCCCTGCGCCTGAACTTCGAGGTGTGCAAGGGGCTGCAGGGCCACCTGGAGCTCCTGCCCAAGACCGGCTGCATCCAGGCCCTGTCGTCCTACTCGGTGCGGCTCAAGTTCCTGCCCAGGTGCGTGGCGCGGCAGGGTCCCTCTGCCCGGTGGGGGGGACTCTAGGTGAGAGCCGGAAGCTGGCTCGACGCCCACGTCGTGGCTCCTGTGTTTCTTACCTTTTATGTAATTTCCAGCTCTCGTCTGACTTGAAAACACACTCATAGTTCAGCATTTTGTCGTTTTGCAAATATAGAGAAGAAAAGAACATTCAAGTGCCTTGTGTCTCTTTCAGACGCTCCCTCCCCGAAGATGCTGGCAAGTATTTTGACAAGGAAAGCAGAGTCCTGGAGGCCCCGATGACTATCCGGGTGGCTGGCCAGGTCTGTGTGGGGCACTTCTGGGAGCGCGGGCGCCCTTGGGGAGCAGAGGGCATTGGGGAGACGGAGGGAGGGTCTTTGTGGATTGGAGAGAGGCCCCGATTGCTGTCCAGGGCCGGCAGGACTGTCCCCAGGGCACCCGAACACATACATGTGTACAGTCCACCCCACACTCAGACCCAGGTGCCCAGGAGTGTGCACATCCTCCATACGCACGCCACATGTGAGCACACAATGCACCGCACACGTAGACGCACAGGTGCACACGTGTGTGCACACGCGCACTCCTGCACCCGCCTGCCCGTGCTGCCCATCCCAAGCCAGGGGCCAACAGGGAAGGGGTTGTGTCCCTGAAAGGTGCACCATCGGCCGTCAGCTCACAGCCGGGATGGTGCTGTTCTCATTTTTGGAAACACTTGCGTGAACTGACCTCGGTGACCGGATGCGCTTGCCCTCTGCACTTCAGACCAAACCCGTGGGGTTTACTGTCCACGCCATAGTCACCACCTCGGACCTGGAACTCAGCCCCGCGGGGGTGGACTTCGGCTACTGCACCATCTACGAGGCCATCAGGACCCAAGTCAGCCTCTGCAACCACTCCCTCCTGCCCCAGGAGTTTGGGTTCATCGGGCTCCCCAAGGTGCCTCGTGTGGTCAGAGCAGGAGGTTTGGGGCATGGGCTGCTGCCCAGGGTCCAGGCGCCTGAGCCACTCCTGGACTCCACACTCACCTCCAGGCACCTCGGCCGGGGCGTCTCTCCGGCCGACCCTCTCCTCGTGCCCGCGGCCCCATCCCCACCTCACCCTGCCTCTCTTGCCCTCGGTCCGCCCACTGCACCCTCAGGATCCAGAGTCCTCTCCCCGTCCTTTCTTCCGGGACTCTTGCCTGCCTGGCCCTGCAGGGCGGCCAAGACGAGGCCCAGGCCTGGCTGTCCTCACTCCTCCAGGGCCATGCCACCAAGGACCCCGCTGCCCGCTCACATATATGCAGACACAGTCACACACACAGACACACTCACACACACACACGTGTACATGTGCCTGCAGACACATACACACACACTCATATCCACACGTGCTCACATGCATGCAGATGCACACTCGCACGTATACACACTCACACACAAGTGCTCACATGCAGGCACACACACAGACACGCACGCACACCACCCTCTCACACACACTCATCTGCACACATGATCACATACACAGGGGCTCACACCCATGTAGCACACTTACATGCATCTTACATGCATGTAGCCACACATACGTTCACACTTGCTCACACACTGCCACATCCCGGCCACACGCATGCCCATGCCGGCTCCCTGTGGCCCTCCCCAGCGGGTCACTGAGTTTTCGCTTTGGCATCCGTGGTCTTCCGTTTGCCAGTTTGTGGACATCCAGCCCAATGATGGGTTCGGGACAATCCTGCCGCTGGAAACTCTGCAACTCGACGTAATCTTTCAGCCCACCAAGGCCAAGGAGTACAACTTCGAGCTCGTCTGCAAGTCAGAGATTAACCGGTGAGCTTGGCAGGAGGGGGGCGCGTGGAGGGCCCTGGCAGCCAGCTTGGGAGGAGCCGCCTCTGGCCGTCCAGGCTGACCACAGGGCTGGGCAACAGTGCCGGCCTCAGGAAGCTTAGACCCAGGTCCATACGCCTGGGATCCAGGCTGCCTTGCAGGCGTGTGTGCTGTGCACATGTGTGAGTGCACCTGTGGGCGTGTGTGAGTGTGCAGAGCATCCCCTGGGCACGAGCCCCGCTCGCCCCCATGCACCGTGTGATGGGCCAGTCTCTGGACCTCCCTGGCCTCCGTGTCTACCCTGAGAACTGGGGCTAAGAAGGTGCTGGGGAGGGAGAAATGGACTGGAAGTGGAGGGGGTCTGGCACAAGGGCCGGCTCTTGTTGCTACTTGGGATCATCAGCCTCTGGTCTGGAATGTGGTGGGCATCCCGCCCACGTGGAACCAGCCCTCCTGCCCCTCTCCTTCCCTTCCTCTCCAGTCCCCACCCACATTCCAGCCCGAGCTGCTGTCTGGTCCTGGGTGGGGGCCTGGGCAGCCCTGGGTAAGGTCGGGCTGACGCCGTCCTCCAGCCGGGCACGTGGCCATGGCGGGACAGGCGGGCCCAGGATCTGACGCACCTGAGGGAAAGCAGGAAGGGGTTCACAGTCTTGATCCTTGGGAGCAAAGTGCAGAGTTAGAACCCGTGGAGGAAACCAGGCACCAGACTCTGCCACCCTGCTGCGTCCCACTGCCCACCCCTCCCCTCAGACTTAGTGACCCGTCCGTGGGCTGGGACCCTTCTGGGCTTGTTCACAACACTCTCAGCCTCTGGAAAACAAACCCCAGGAAAAGAGGGGATTGTGAGATAACCTCAGTGCTCAGGACCTATGGCAGAAGCTCCGTAGATGTTTGCTGATTGAATGTGCGTCTAGTGTTTCTTCAAGAACTATCTACGTATAAATTGAAACTGCCAAAAACTCAGCCAGGAGCCGTCTTGGGGAGGCTAGGAAAGCTCGAACTGTGAGACCTCAGGTATTAAAGTAGTGCATGCTGAGCCCAGAGGAGATAGATAGATAAATAAATAAATAAATATTTAGGCAATTTTTTTTTGCGGTACGCGGGCCTCTCACTGTTGTGGCCTCTCCCGTTGCGGGGCACAGGCTCCAGACGTGCAGGCCCAGCGGCCATGGCTCACGGGCCCAGCCGCTCCGCGGCATGTGGGATCTTCCCGGACTGGGGCACGAACCCATGTCCCCTGCATCGGCAGGCAGACTCCAACCACTGCGCCACCAGGGAAGACCCCCCCCAAAATTTTTTAAACATGACAGAAAAAGAAACAAAAATGGGCAATAAATAAATATATATATATATATATATATTTTTTTTTTTTTTTTTCCCCTAGGAAGG